CAGACAAAATTGTGCTATTTTGGGGAGAAGTGAGTCAGGGCAAGAAGAAGAGTGGGGTCAAATCTGACCAAGTACAGGTAAGAACCTTTATTAGGTTCTTATTATCTTGTATCAATAAGACCAGCAAAATATTCTTATTCTTTGCTATTATTGTACAAACAGATAACCAGCTGGCAAATCTATTTCACATGACTCAGTCCCTCCTGGGTGAGGGGCTAGGAGAACTTCTGCAGAGTCATGGTGAGGACTATTCTAGGCATTTGTCAGATAAAGTCACTCAGATTTGCTTGCAGTTGGATTCTGGCTGGGTAGGTCCTATAGAATTGACTAAGTACTATTTTGTCTGGTTATCTGGAGAGAATTTGAGCCTGTTAATACTGAGAAAGTGGGGAGTTTTGAGTCCTGCCACCTATATTTTAGATCCATGTCCCTCCTGGTTGTTTAAGACCTCAGGGGAGACTATAGATAGTAGGAGTCAAGTGGTGGAGAATGCTTTCTTGTGAGAGAACAAAATTCTGCCTACTTTGGAAGAAGATGTAGTTCTCTCCTCAAAAAGCCAACACTGGATCCAACAGGACTGGACAATTTTCATCAATTCCAACTTTCCCTTTTTAGGGAAGGTTGTGAGAAGATGGTAGGTTTCCAGGTCCAAAAGGCCCCAAGGAAACAGGATCTTTTCAGCAGGGTTTCAGTCTGTGTATACTACTGAGATGGCATTGATTGTGTTTGTGGATGACTTGGGGGCTCAGGACAGTAATGGTGCATAGCTCTAGCCCTTCTTGATCTTTCAGTGTCTTTCAATACCATCAATCCTGGTATCCTTCTGGACCAGTTTACGGATCTGGGAGCTGGTGGCACAATGTGGCAGTGGTTCCCCTCCATCCTCTGAGGACAGTTCCAGCAGTCCATATTGGTGGGAGAGGGATGCCTCAGGGCTCAACTCTCTCACAGCTCCTATTTAACATCTACATGGGCTTTAGGGCTGCTTGAATTTGGAGATCTTCTATCTAACTCTGGATGTAGTAGCACTTCCCCAGGCAGAGTTAGCACACTATTTGAAATGCTTGTAGATTGCACCAATCAATTTGTGCACCGGTTGCACCCATTCCTGGATAGGGAGGCTCTACTCAGTCACTTCCTGGTTGGACTACTGCACTTGGCTTTACATGGGTCTGTCCCTGAACAGCATTCAGAAACTACAGCTGATTCAGAATGCAGTGGTGCATGCAATTTTTGGTGCACCACGGTATACCCAAGCAACATCACTGCTGCACGAGCTGCATGGCTCCTAGCAGGCTTCAAACTACAATTCAAGGTGCTGATTGCCACCTTTAAAGGCCTTAATGGCACAAGGCCAGTACTTATGTCTTATTATACTGTCCATGTATTCACTATGAAACACCAATTATGTTGTATGCAACCTACCACATGCTGTATGTTCACTCATCCATGGATAACTACAAAAATTCATTCCAGATGTTCCATGAATTCCAAAAATTCATACAGATCTGAAGGCCTTTGGGAAAAAAGCTTTATTTTTATTGTTGTTGTTTTTTCTCCTTGAAAACATACATAAGCAGGCCTTAGAAAAAAACAGTGTTTCGGCTTCATTTATTTTTCCCCAAGCCTGCAAATCTGTACACATATACACCAACTCAATGGAGAAAAAGCTGATTTAGATTTTAATTGGTATCTATATAAGTGCTTATGTAAGAACAGGGAATGGATGAATTGAAAATTCAGACAACAGTCTAGAGTTTTGCATATGTCAATCAAAAGAATTAAGGTGGTTATATATAAAACTGATACACTAAAAACAACCTGAGTTTCAAAACTAATGCCAATTTCAGCAATTTCTTAATAAACAATTTCTCTATGAGTAACAGATTAATATTTAAATAATTAAAACCCAGACTCACAAAACGGGAGGAATTATCGTTTTTCACAGTCTTTGCATTTCCAAAGGATTCCAGAATAGGATTGGCTTGTAGAAGTTGGCGTTCTAGTTCACCCTGAAACATACACAGAAATATGAAGTTACGCAAACCTAATTTAAGAGCAGTATGGATTCCAAGTATGGTTTTTCACTTATTCTGACTCCATCTTTCTCCCCAATACAGCATCTTCAGAAATGACTTAATGTTGTTCAGTTGAGACTGATGGGCTGTAAAAATAAAGGTAGTTAAAAGAATTTCATTGCTTCAAAAAACAGTAAACACTAATTATAAGTTAGGGTTCATGACTAAACAGCAACTATCACCTTACACATAAAAGTAAATTTTAACGTATGCCTCATCCTCCCATTGCTATCACAGCACTCAGAAGCTTTGTGTGGCTTGATATGAATTAGAGATATGCAGAAATAAAGGAACATATGAAGTGTGAATTTAATATTTTACTTCACAAATGTATAAAGCAGTACACTTATCACCAATTCTTGCTATTAAAGAAAGATTTCTGCTTTCATACCTAACAAATCATACTCTGATTTTGTAGTACTGATTTGGGTTTAAATGACCAGCTTTGTTGAATACAGAAGTCTGTCTCTTAAGTGTTGTTCTCCAGTTTCAGTTAAAAATCTGCCATAACAACATGGACAAGATGCAAAGCCAATTTTGTAAGTTGATTTTAAAAACTTTAAACCTCAGAAAATGTGTCTGAATTATCAGACTACTTAGGTCAGAGGTTCCTAAAGTTCTCAATTTATGGCACCTTTAGCATCTCAGTAATTTTTTATGGGGCCCCTTGGTCAAAACTATGAACTACCTCAAGCTACCAGTTTGCATGGTGCTGTACAGATGTTGATACCGCTATTTCCCCCTTGGAAATTTAAAATATGTTGTGGTGCCTCTGTGAGTTTGCTGTGGCACCCTGTGGCACCATGGCATACAGCTTGGGAACCACGGACTTAGGAAATACCTTATACCATCATAGCCCATGTTAACATCTGTGTGTGTATCCATTAGCCCACTGAGGAGACAAAGTGCTGGAAGATTTAATATTTCAGCCTTGTATGAACTGTAATGATGTCAGTCAAGAAGTAAGAATTATAAGTGAAATATAATTGCAAAATATAAGCTCCAATAATATACCTGTTTTTTTTTTCAAGTGTATTATTTCTTATTTACAGAACACACAAATTTTAGAAATGCTCCCATATGAGATTTTCATTCATAAGAATTGTGTCAAATATCCTTCAATATTTTGTAATTAGTTTTGTCTGATCATAGCTGCAGAGACCTTAAAGAGTTTGCCTACCATATTTCACTTCTGTGCAGAACTTTTAAAGTGTTTTCTTTATTGCTGTGCTCTGATTGCTTAAGGGAAGATGAATTGTATACAGTCTTTTCTGATAGCTTCTATATATCCCTTCCTGCAATCACTGAATACCAGGACTTGGATAACTCCTAAAACTAATGCACTGTACTGTATATAATACATCTAAAGTGTGAAGATCTGCAAGTTCAGTTCCCCATAGAGGGTTTGAACCCATAGAATAACATCTGGCTATTCATGTCTGATGAGCCCAAAAGGACAGAATTGGTCACATCATGCATCCTGGTGGTCAGTGTAACCGAATTCCTTCTCAGTCACTTAATCTCATTGGAACTTATTCACCGCTATGGAAGGAATTTCAACAAGGGGTCAACTCTTTCGTTCAACTTGATGGAGCTTAAGAATGTTTATCATTCACCAGACTGTGCTATTTATAAATAGTAATAGTAAAAACATATAATTTTGAAGTGACACAGCTTAATGTCTCACTAGGACTTCAAGCATCTTTTAGTTCAAAATGTATTTAATTTACACAATTTATATTGTGTCTTTTTGTTCTGCTTGAACACTTAAGGTAGCACACATCTTAAAACAAAATCAAAAAAAGACAAAACAAATAAATAAAAACACAAATAATAAAATTTGAAGAATTGCATTTTCTCAGATTGACAAAAGGTATTGATTGAAAAATCCTTCCACAGATGAAAACTCATATTTCATTTAGCATTTTAACTCTCTGTAGATTGCTGCTAGCTCCACTGTACAAGATTTCTGACAAAATCTGGAAAAAAAATTATTCCAGTTGGAGTCAAGCCCTAGCCAGACCATTTATATGAAAATTTAGAGATTCAGCTACATAAAAAGGTCAGTTATTTATTTATTTATTTATTTATTTATTTTAATAAACAGAAGCAATCTTCAATGTTTGACAAACAATATAAACTGTAACAATGAATATGGCTGCACTTTGAGAGTCTAAGGGATCTAGTCAAGAATAGGAAGGATCTTAGTTTGGACAATTCCAAATATCTAAAAAGTATCATAAAAATCTTCCCATGGAATGCTAATATATCTTGTTTTAGTTCAAACATATCACCATAGCATGCTTCAGCTGTCTTCAACAAGTAAAATAAGTTTCAGACTTTATTTGAAAAAGAAACTCATTTGCCCTCCATATTGTAAGTGTAACATTACAATTTTATCTGTTTATCATTTACTCTATGAAATAAGGCCTTGAAATGCACGGAATTAGTTACTTAAACATTCATTAAAATATGCCCGCTATTTAATTTCTACTAACAGGGCCCCATGATGTCCAACATATTTCCTTACTTTCTTTGGTATAAAGCATCATAGTCCCATTTGTGAAAACAGACGGAAGTATCTTGAAACCATTCTATTCCATAATATTTCAGAGAAGCTTTAAACCAAAAGCAAGATCCACACTAATTTGCACATAAATTCCAGATGATTTCGGAAAAGGCATCCAAGGTATTGTGAAGGTGTGATGACATGCAATCTATTCATGCAAATCAATTATGTAATGACAGATAAAGAAGAGAGGTGGTGCTCTCAGCATCCCTGTGATTTGGCTCATTGTGAGTCAGCAAGGTGACAAACTACAAGAACTATGTGCTACTCACATACAACGGGGATCCACTCTGCAGTTAAAAAATGACAATGAAACAATGTTAATAGTTATGAATTTATGAAATCACCAGAAACGCAGTGGGATTACAAATCAAAGGTCTTAATATTTATTAATTAATACATCCGATCTTCCTAATAAAGTGGGTTCCTACAGGATAATTCATATGTTAGTTTTTTAGAACTGGAACAAAGTTATAATTTCAACTGTATTATATCAGCATAGTAATTATGACAACAGCATTCTTGAGAAGTATAAATGCATCGCCCAACTGCTATACTGTGAACATCCACCTGTTTTGTTCTGCCGTTTTTTTTTTTTGGTACCAGCAACAGGCAATCCCACAGCTCTGCAGATGTAAGGACTTCTAGCAAGACCACTGGGAAGGAATGTAGGAACATCTGGAAGATACTAGATTGCTCTATGCCTATAATGGTTTTTTCAGCCTATTGACAGTTATCATGATGATCTCCACAGGTCAACCTAGGTTTCATAAGAAAATTCTAAAATAAAAACTTGCTCCCTTGGTGGTGGTGGTGTTTTTTTAAATCTATATAAAATGGGCAGTACTAATTGACAGAGACAATTGGCTTTGGATCACATATTAGATTAAAAAGTGCATTAATTTATCACCTAGCAAATCATGGACCATTCCAGCTTTAGCATGTTTGCAGCTGCAATTTACATTCCAACAGAGTGACTGGGAAAAACACTACTAACAACATACCAGAGATAAATCCTTTGGGGGCCAGTAGGCACATCTGGAATGCTGAAAGCCTATTTTGGAGTGATCTCATAAAACAGCTGTATGGAGGGTAGCTTGCATATTCACAAAACAGCTGTCTTGATGGATGCAGAGGATCAACACATACCCAGTTAACAGGACAGACTAACTGGTGAGTCTATTTCTCCATC